ACTAACACAGTAATACATTTGCTATAACACAGCCAAAAAACTCAATAAAACCAATTCTAAAAAGCCTGTATCAACAATAATTTAAAAAACGCCTAGGGGTATTTGCCCACTGTACCTCCATACCAAATTTCAGGACCTTGGGCCCTAAAATGAAGAAGCTGAATCCATTTAAAAAATGGCAGGAGAAGAAGGAGGAGAAGAAGAAGAAGAAGAAGAAGAAGAAACATCAGAAAAAGCAATATGGTTTCACCACACCACTTCGTGGTGTGGTGAACCCATAAAAAGTCAGACAGAATCAATACATCTTTGTATCATGTAGATGAAGATCATGTAGATGAAGCAGCCCACGAGTCGTCTTCTGATACCAGACAATTTCATGTCAGTACTGACATCATGAGTTTGAACTACGTGTTGTCCTGACTGGGGTTGTTTTTTTTACATTGGTGCTTTTACTACTACTATAAAGTTGTTAAGCGGTTTCTCATATAGTGATATATTACATGTTTCTTGGCTTACTTGATGTCATAAATGTTCAGTTATTTCTTTACGGTGGAAATATAAGGTTGTTTAAGCAGGGACATATTATCCGTGCGTGAAGCACGTGTTGTTCCAGCTGAGGTTGAAGCTGACATGTTGGTTTTACTGAATGTTATTTTAGCGGTTCCGATATGCAACATGATACTCGGTGAACTTGAGGTTTATCTTCATAGATTTCAATTCTTTCTTTGTGGGGAAAATATAGATGCGCCTTAACAGTTATATTACAATGTAGTGCCGTGTTTAAATTACAACACACTGTTAGTTCGTAACAGCTGGAGTCATTATAAAAATTACAAATTACATTACATTGCATTACCAAACCTATCAACACATTTACATTACCTACACCTTGGAGTGCTACTGTAAGGTGATATGGAGATATAGAGAAGAAAACTTCAGACATTTTGTACTTACAGTAAGGGTTCGACGAGCGACTTGTCTTCAGAGAGAACCGACCACAATAGTGAAATAGAGACTCAGTGCAGTGAGATGATATAAATATTTAATAAACATATCCCGGGCACGTCATAAATTCCCCAGCAAAGATGTCTTGTCTGGTATCGTATAGAACCAACAGGGTGTTGAACACTGAAGTCCGAAAAATGGCCACATTGTATTGTTCATAAGATAAAACGAAAATTCGGTTATTGCAGTAAAATGCAAGATGTTTGAAGAAATGTGGTTTCGTTAAAAATTTTTTTGCAGAAACCTGTTCATGAATTTAGAATTTTAGACTTTAATTTGTCCCTCCCTTGGGAGGAGTTTCAGTGGACTAATCCAACTTTTTCGTCTGTGAACGTAGGTGTAGGTTTGAATGATGAACCTAGTAGTTATTAAGGTTTGAGAGATAGTAGACCATTCATGCATGCTGAACTTTTCTTTCTACACTACTTCTCATTAACGAAGCAGGCAGGGTGGTCTTGTGATTAGGGTTGTTGACCTTAGCTTAGGTGAAAGTGACCATGGACTTTATGCCCCCGCAAATGTGTTTTGCCTAGTATTGTAAATTAGAAACATCGATATTGAACGCTATACTCCCTAAAAATGCCAACATTGTATTGGTCATAAGATGTTACGAAAAATCGTTTATAGTAGTGAAATGCAAGATGCGTGAAGAAAAGAGGTTTCTTTTTAACAGATATGTTCAGCCCTAATGTTTATCGATTTAATTCTAGTTACCCTAGTACTTCATATATCTAATTTTTTATTGTAACTTGATCGATAATGTATTTACGTATGTGTCGATTGTGTATATTTGTGTATGATGTCGCAATATCAGCTATCAGCTGCCTGGCGGCAACATTGTATTGCCATGTTGCAATTTCAAATAAATAAATAAAAAGAGGTTTCGTTAAAATTTTTTTAGAAATGGGTTCATGAATTTAGACTTTTAGACGTTAGACTGATCTAACTGCGTCTGTGGATGTGGGTGGATGTTTGAAAGCTGACAAGACTATCCATGTATGATGTACCTGGTAGTAATTGGGTTTTGGAACTTGTAGACTAATATACATGTACATTTATGATCCTTTCTACACCCACATATGTCTCATCATTTGGTTTGGCCTGGTCATTTAGAGTCTAAAAGTAGAACTCCCGGGAGACCCGAATGTTGTGCCCTTAAGAAAGGTTCTTTACACCTATTTTGCTTGTTGGCTCAGCTGAAGGTGGGTACCTAGCTTTCGTAGGGACTCTCTAGCAAATCTGATTTCAATCACTACCAAAAATGCTTTTTCTTGTTTTTCTTATTTTCTCATGGGAAGAAAATTTTTCTTTGGGGGAGAATAATAAGAAAAAAATAAGAAAAAAATAAATTTTCTGTATACCTACGTTCTTGCACCAAGAGCAATTTTCTCATTTTTCTTGAGTGGAGATAATTTTTCTAAAATAGGCTTCTTTAAATCTTGATTTTTCTTTGGTGAAGAAATATTTCTAGAGGAGATTCTAACTTACAAGATTAGAATTCTTGTAATCTTGAAATTTCTTT